GAGCGATCGGGTGCCGAGCTTCCCGCCACCGCCGCCCGCCGGAAAGGGCCTCTCCTTCCCCTTTTGTTCGCGTCTCTGCCCCTCGCAGCAGCCCGAGAGCTTCCGCTCTGCTGCAAGGACAGCGACTGGTTATTTCTCCCCCCTCCCCAGGGTGCGGAGGATTTCCCCGACTGCTGCATCCTGATCCTCTCAGGCTTCTGCCTGCAGCCGTCCACGCGTCGGGAACGTCTCTAGTTTCTCTGGTTGTTGGAAGCATACTTACAAAACCCTCCTAACGAGAATTTGGTCACCGTCGGCCTGACCAAACCAACGTGTTTTTTCTGCTCGTAAAAATGAAAGGGGGCATCGATGTGCTGCTGGACTAAATTACTCTTGTCAGCCCCTGGCCGTGAGGCTTCTGCTTTCCTTCTGCTTTGTAGTGCTGCGTGCTGGTTCCAGTTCGCCTGACTGTCAGAAAAGCAGTATTGGCAGCCTCTCTTGAGCTCTGTTACAGTAGCAGCCTTTCTGATGTAATGCATTCAACAGTATTAGTATATGCCAATACAGCACGCATGCAATTTCTGTACTGGTCTTATTTTCTATTCAAAAAGCAAGCACAACACTTCAGAAAGTGTTGAAGTTGAAGGCAATATGGGAAATTTTATAGTTAGGTATTTTCTTTGTTTCAGGATAGAAGTCAGAAAAGACAGTAAGTATATTGTAATGCTAAGTATATATTTTCAAAAACGTAATGAAGAATTAAGCATGTTACAATTTAACAGTAGAATGTTTTGCTAGAGATGAGATATGCTTTAGTACTTTAATATTCCTCCCCTCTATGAGCTGATGTTAGTTACACAGGGTTGTGGAAAGAATTGGTGTTAACTATGAGCATGGGAATAATAATCTTTCTTCCAGGAAAATTCTTATATTTCACTTACCCATATATAGCCCATAATAGTTTTCTTGCCCTTTAGAATTTTTCATTCAGTTCTCCCAGTCAAGGTAACTAAACTCCTTATAGTTTTCTTCCATCGTCCCATGTCAATTATGCTTATATGTGAGAGTTTTACTGGCATTCCTAAACCAGCATAGTTTTGAAGGTGTCATGAGATGATAGTTAATTCAAGAAAAGCTTGAGTTAAAATTAAGCGTTTAATTTTTTTTTTCAATTATTAACTACGTTCATAGAAATGGCTTAATTAAATGAATTTACTTTGCTTATGTGTATTCTCTCTGTAGCATGATTTTTCTCTTACCTGAATTATTTCAAATACTGTGTTGGCAGCAGTCCGAGTTACCCTTAGAGTATAAATTTAAACAGGTGGTTTATAAAACATTAGGTAGGTGCAACTGTCTCAGCTTTAAAGCAGGTTATATTGCTTAGACTAGGGAATTGCATGAACTAAGACACAAACATATAGCTCATAGCATAACTTTTCAGACTGTTTTTCACATTATTTCCCATCCCATCACCCAGTGAAACTGATAGACAAGAGTGGAGTAAAGCAGTAGTGATCCTGTTTGTCCCTGGTGGCCTTAGGAATGCACTTTGGGTTTGAGTAGTGGGTGAAATTGACTAGATGACTTCCGGTAAATTAGGGGTAAAGAGGAATGAGTATGAACAGGTTTGCTGTAATGCTTTCCTATATCTATGCTGTTTTGATTTTTTTTCTGTGTTACTTCTCCGCGCAAGCTAAAGGCATTTAGGGCATATGTTTTATAGGAATTGTATATTTTCTATTCCAGTATGTAAGTACTTTGTTTTTTTCACTTGCAGAGTCAACTGTTCATTTTATTTCAAAATCGGAGCTTGTCGTCATGGAGACAGATGTTCTCGGTTGCACAACAAACCAACATTTAGCCAGGTTTGTTTTCCTTGTGTTTTCTCTTTCTTGTGGAAGTACATCATTGCTTCTTTAAAACATAGATTCTCAGATACAAGTGAATAATTACCGAGCTCCAGATTAACTAGTTCACTTTTGGCCCCAGTTTATATGGGTTTTTGCTTTTTTGGGGGTATTCCATTTACTTCTCCCAGCATTTCTAATTATCTCCTGTCACCCTTAATGGCTGCAGGAAGCGATGCTGTTGTAAGCTTGCCTGTAGTAGAGACCAACCAGTGCTAACTCTCAGGTGAGTGTGCCTTCTCAGTGGTGTTTAGGCACTTAAACCATCCCAGGTTTTTTTTAATCGCAAACAGTGGCAGCATGTTCTGCCTATCTCAAAGGTGTAGACTTAAATCCTTTATGCATATAACAGAAGAAAACTAATTAATAAATAAAAGCCACTCTTCTGTTGTTATATTTGCTCTCTGACCCAGGCTCTTAAATTTCAAGAGTAACTTACATACTCGCTTTGAATTTGAAAGAATTGTTTCTTGAAAACAATTTGCCTGGTTGATGAGGGTGTATATGTCAGTTGACTTGACAGATTATTTACTCTTTGGCTATGTGAATATTGTTAGAGACATGATGTGTGACTGCCAAAAAACCCAAAAAGAGGTGCAGTGGATGATAGGGTTTTTATTATTATGAGCTCTGTAGTTGTCAGAAATTACACTCCTGGAGAACTGCATGCTTTGCCTTTTTCTATCACTGCTGATTGTCAAGGTATACAGGTAAATCGATTTTTCTTTAGGAGTATTGTATATGATAAGTAGTGCCTATGGAAGGCAGTTGTTGCATTAGCAGCAAGTTTTACCTACAAAGGTAAAGTTTACACAGCAGTGGAGTCCTCTGCAAGTTCATTTTAGCTGTCTTGGAGCAGGATTGATTAGAGTGGTGGGCTGGTGTTGGTTTGAGAATAGGGAGGCATGTACTATCATTGTGACTGGAGTTCAGAGCAGTGGTGCTTATGAAGTTAAACTGTGCGAGTGCATGAGTGGACAGGATAGTTCTTGGGGGGAGCCTGTCTAGGTAACTGATCGATAGGGACTGCTGCTGGTACGTTATCTACAAAGACAGTTTTCCACTGCTGGGAACTTAATACTTTTTAATGTAAGTATTATATTACAGAAAGAATATTGTCCATTTTCAAAACTGCTCCGTGTTGCTGACCTACATGGAAAGCGTGCTGAAATGTGATTGGTTATATACAGACCTGAATTTAGGTCATTGGCTACTAGAAAATATTTCTAAATTAGACAACTTCCACAGTAGTTGTCTTTAAGTTAAAAAAACCCCAACCAAACAAAACAAAAAGAACCCACTTTTTTATTATTACAAAAATCTTCATGTGCAACAACAGTTTTCTCTGTCAGTGCAGTCTGTACCTTTGCTTTTGAAACTGGTAAGCAATGGCGGCTGAAGTAGGTCAGCAGGGCACGTCACATTCATCCAGTGATGTCTGTGACCGCTACAGCATCGCACGTGGCAGACATGCTGTATTGTAACATCTCAAATGTACCTGGCAGATGTGTAGGGCTTGCTACAGAAATCTTTATTTGTATGCGGATTGATAATCAGCTGTGATAGAAAATAGAACAGATATCTTACTAATGGGAAGTTACTGGCACAATATTTTTATCTTGTGTTGCTATTGCTGGTGCAGCTACTTTGTAGAAGAGCTGTGTTAGGAAAGGTCGTGCAATCCAGGGTGATCAAATTACCCCAATCAGCAGAAACACTGTAACTATATGCGTGTTTCTGGCTCTCTCCAATTGTAATCTAAAACATAGGTATTTAAAACCTGGGCCATGGAAGCACAAAGCTTTGGTTGGTATGACCATACCCGTGATAAAACAAGTGTGTGATTTATTTATATTTTTTTTTTTTAAATGTGATGTTATGCATTTTTTACATGTTAAGTGGGCAGCGTATGTAGGTATGACATTGCTGGTCCTGTGACTTCTTTAAGTTCTGAATTCTTACTGTGACTAATAATAATGTGTAAGATAAAATTATTTGGGGATTGTGATTTGTACTAACTAACGTTGAGCTTGTATTTTAAGTAATCAAATTCCAATTTTTGAGCTGCTTACAGTGATGTGGACGTTTGGAATTTTTTTGTAATATTAGTTTACTAACTTAAACATGGTTTGTTTTTTCAGACAACTTGATTTTAAGAAGAACGGTACAAATGTAAGGTTTCAAGTCTGCCTGGGCTAATTCTTCAAGTAAAAAGCAGAAGGGCTAAAAGGATATTGTCCTTATTTGAAGGATCGGAAACCTGTGAACCTATGATGCTATTATATTATTTAAACAGAAATTCCACCAAGAAATTCTTGATGCACAAAATAAGACTTAGTTCTTGCCTAAAAACTTTACTGTCTGGTGTAATGTTTTAGACTTGGTGGCATTATGTATTATATGCTGTGCACATAACACTACTTCCCCTCCCTCCCTCCCCCCAGACTTACAGTAATGAATCTGGTCTTGAAAGCTAGACATGTCCATAATATCATGTAGTTTGACATCTTAGGTTACTGTGCCTCGCAATTCCCATTTTGAGGATAGCTGTTGAGACAAATGCAGCTCTTTCTTGGTGGTTAATTAAAACTGTTTTCATAATATGATGGTCTGGATGCAATTTTGGAAGATATTCTGCAAATACAAAAGGAAGTCTTTAAAATATTACTTTTAGCTGTTTGCAAACAAGTTGTCTCTTTGCAATTGTCTATTATATGCACAGCAGCCAGTAGAATTCCCCTTTTTATTTTTTTTCCCCGCAGACCATCTTGATTCAAAACATCTATCGTAACCCCCAAAACAGTGCACAGACGGCTGACGGCTCACACTGTAAGTCCCACAGTTGGAGAAATTTTTTTAAAGAATGGTGTTAAAGAGCCCACTCCTAATTATGAGAAAATAATGTTGGCTTCTGAGCTGCTGACATAAAGCTGTTGCAAACAGGACAAGTGACGGAACTCTTCTTGCGCATAGATCAAGAACTTGTCAAATGTGTGCAATTCAGAATGCAGAACTGACTGCATAAATTGGACTTGATGCAGTTTCTCTTTTGCACTGCAGAGTGAACCTCATTTCTTAGTAACTCTGCATTCATTTAGAGGGTTAACCTGCAGACATTTCTCAAATTCTTGATTTAACCAAAATAAAAAAAAAATAGGTATATATGTGATGTACGGTAAGTTTCCCAAAACTGTGGGTTTTCTCTCATCTTAACGCTTTTAGGAAAATGGAGATTTCATGTTATGCTGTAATTATTGTATTACTTCTTTTCCTGGGGTTTTGCTACTAAGAAACCACTCAGTAAAACTAGATTCAAATTACTATGCTTGTAACTTGAATACTGCGTCTGGATGCCATCTATTACATACCTACCTGAAATCTTGCAAAACCCCTCTATGTTGGTGAATAAAATTAAAAAAAAAAATAAAATACAATAATGGAGCATCATGAGATCTCTATTATTTACAGTGTTAGGTTGATTCAGAAAGGCCACCAGCTAAGTGAAAGTTCTCCTTCTTGGGAGAGAATAACCACCTCTCTTTTCAGCACAGACTCGGCTAAAGCGACCCTAAAGGAAACCGGTTTCTTGTTAAAATTATTTTCCATAATATAAAGTTGTTGCGTTTTGTATTTCAGACCATTGCCCTCTTGAACATTTACCGTAACCCTCAAAACTCTTCCCAGTCTGCTGACGGTTTGCGCTGTAAGTTCATACAAGTTCCTTCACTGGTTCCCTGGGCTTGATTGTCAGAGCTCAGTGTCGACTTAAGCTGGTCTACCATTTTAGTTTAACAGATCAAACTGACCACGTTTCGTTAAATGTGTCCAAAACAAACACACACAAAAAATAAAAAAATAAAAAAAAACCCTAAAACTTTTTTGTGCTGCTCACCTTCCTCCCTACTCCCAAAACTGAGGGGAATCTGAATACCATCTATTAAATCAAAAAGGGTTGAAATTGTACTTCCCCTGTAAAGCAGTCTTAGTTGCACTGCTTTCTTCCCCCCACCTTTCTCCCTGCCAGTTGCTTGCATCCTAGGAATGCTTTTCTGTATGTTTTGTGCTATCCATTAGGTTCCACTGTCTCAAAGAGCAGGACAATGACACATTGACTTCATCCAGAACAAATTTCCTGCTCTGTAAATGCTAAGAGAACTTCAATTTGAGACTTTTCAGACTGCATGCAGAAATTTGTCCTAGGTTAATGCAGCTTCCGTTTAGAGTCTACTTTAGAAGAATACACTTTGACTGACAAACGCTTCCCTTCTGGCAGCTGTCCTTTGGGATAGGTGCATGCTTAAAATGCCTTCCATGCTTTGAAAATTCAAATTCCAAAACTAAGTTGCATATTTACCTAGGAAAATATATCTTTAAAAATTCTTTTGTGGAGGGGGAAGGCATTTGGGTATGGTCATGAACTAATTTAATGACTCCTCATGAGGTAGGAATGGGCGTAAGAAAACACACCTGCTGTGAGACTGGCAGAAGTTAAATGACCAGGATTGTTGATCTGTGATTACTGATCTATCATTGTGATTCAATCATCAACATTAGAATAAGATTTCAAAATAATAATTTAAAAAAAAGTTGTAGGACCAAAAAGGATCGGTGTTATTTTCTAACTAATATTTCTTGTTGAAGTGAACATTGACTGTGTGGTAATAAAGCTTTGTTTGGTTATTCATTTTTTTGACTGTTGGATTACAGACTAGTCCAGATTAGTTACCAGCATTTGATTAGACATGCTTTGTGAAATCAGCCACTAACTTAAAAGTCAACACTGTCTCTTCTGCTTCTAAAAGTAATAACGGCCCAATTAAGTAATTTGAGGTTTTTGTCACACAATCAAGCTAGATATGTAACGAGCTATATAAGTTTGTCTAGACGCTTAAACAGTTCTATTGGTTTCTAGGCTTTCTTGATGCAGATGCTTAGTAGTTAACGCTGTTTCAGAAAACCAAAAACTGTACAGTTGGGTATTTCCACTCCGTCCCTACAATCTCAATGCGCTGGTAACTAATTTGCACAGAGTTACAGCAGTTTGGTCTGTGGAGCTGTTTAGATTGTACAGCTGCAAGAGTCTTGAACAGAGATTCTCTAGTGTTCTAAATGCTGGTATCCAACTTTAGTTTGCCTTGACAAGCGGGTAGACACTTAATGGAGCCCAGCTGTACCTTCTGTGGTAGAGCTGGAGCTCTGTTATCAGTAGGTTTGCTGAAACTCCCAGCTCCCTTTTTTGGTATTTGTCCCTACTGAAGTACTGCATGTATTTTAAATGGATAACTTGGGTAGCTATTTAATGCTTTTGTTGTTGTTGCTTAACTGTCTTCCTTTCTATTGCCGTCGTAGAGGATTAACCTTAGTTTTGAACAGCAATAGTTTTCCTGAGTATTTTAATTAGTAATTGGGCTTCTCAAGGTTCAGATACCGGTAGCCCTGGAATATGAATGTTTGTAAAGCCTGTGCATATGTATGCTTCCTGCTTTAGAAGGACATTCAAGTAGTCATTAACTAACTGTTGCTTATGATCTCCTAATTTGACAATGGGATCTCCTTATAAGTTTTTAACACTTGTCCATCTTGTAAAAAGTAGTTATTCCCTGTGTGGCTCACAAAGCCTCTGTCTGATATCTTTAAAAAAAAAAAAAAGAAAAATCCTTAGGTATTAGTAAGCTGTTATCAATGGTGTTGGCAGAACCTTGGGAATATAGTTAAGTATTAAACTGTCTAGAAATACTGGTTTAATGTTTGATATTTCCTTAATTTGCTATATAACCATGGGGAAGAAGAAAGTTCTTAAAAGCAAACATCAATGCAGAACATTGTTAGCCTAAACTATGTAACGAATGCCGCTTGGCCGCCTTCAGGAGGTGAGCTGGGTGAAAGAAAAGTAATTACAGTTCCAGACAGTGTGGCTGGTTAATATTAGAGCCTTTGCAGGGGAAAAAAAAAAAAAAGAAAAAGTAAAGTTTGTCCAAATGGTAGTATTAGCCAAAAATGGCTGAGCCCAAAGCACCTCTTTTTTTCCTAGCAGCCCGAAGTGAATAAACTCAGCTTTGTTGGCTCAGCTTCTTCTCTTTCACGTTCTGTGAACTAAAACAGTAGTGTTTGTAATTTAAAGGCTAGGACATTTTTATAGCATAAAATGCAGGGTTCCTTTTAAAACGGCTCCGCTTGATCTTAATAAACCACTTAGCTACTGAAGAGCTAATACATTAGGCTTTAACATGTAGAGCTTAATGTAGTTTAAAATGCTGTAGACTGGAAGAAATAAATTCATTTTTATATTCTTAAAGCTTTGAAAAATCAGCCAAACTTAATCTTTTTTTTTTTTAATAGCAGCAGGCAAGCAGCACTCATTTGTAAAGTCCACCTTGGAGCATGAAAATAATCTAAACTGAATATATGGCTGGCTTGTCTTGCATTAAAAAGTGTTCTGCAGGACTACAGAAAAATTAAATGATATTCAAAATTAAATTAGAAATTTGCTCTCTATTCCAAAGCATTATGGTACCCTTCTTTGAGGGCACTGAGAAAAGTGTGTCATTTCAATAACTATGTTGAGCAAATTAAAAAAAAAATATAATTCTGGGCTATGTTACATTGTGAACTCTCAAATTCTAGTGTAAATGCTGGCGAGGTGGATGTGTTAAAATGAAATTCTGCCTTTAGGAAGAGGAACACTAAATTGTTACCATGCTTTAAAATATGCAAATGTGACAAAGCACTTGCCTTCTGTTTAGGTAAAATTGTTGGTAGATAGAAGGTGGGACTGTACATTAAATTTAAATGATATTTCAAAGTAATTCCTTCCCCTTCCTTTAAATTTATGGCATACAAGTTTGGTTCTGATTAAAACTTGTTTTGGTTTGATCATGTCAATGTAACGTTTTGACATACTACTTCAGGGGCTCGAAGCTCTTCACACATACTTATTTTTAATATTCCTATTAGTTAGCTCCATGCTGTATGGTGTCTTTTATGCTCCAGACGGCCTCTCTAGATTGTTTTGTAGTATGATCAAAATCTCTTCTTCCTTATTTATAGGCTCTAATTGATATGACTCTTGATTTTTACAGGTGCTGTGAGTGATGTTGAGATGCAGGAACATTACGATGAATTCTTTGAGGTATGTGAAAGATGTAAAAATGCATTAAAGTGTTCATGGATTTGATGACACAAATGAGTTAGATTCAGTGTATATACCACAATTAGATGGATTCAGAGAAAAGTGCTTGTTTCCTCAGGTGTTCATATGAAACTTTCAGTGCTAAATATTTCCTAGTATAACCTTTGGTTTGTCTTCAGCTTCACCGTTTATAATAGCCTTTGTTTAAAAATCAGCAACTTAAGTGATGTAGCATTTTGATTCCATAGTCCCCTTCTTTCCTGTAAATTTAAAATAAACATAATTACTTAGTTTGCTTCTATACCAATAAAACTATATCACCAAGGCTTATATGTAGTGTTTTCAGTACATCTTACGTATTCTGTAAATACTGTATGCTTACTGTTTTCCATAGCTTTTTATTGTATCCTGTTGGTGCTGTACTTACAGATGGACACAGTACAGGCCAAGCAAGTACTAATTTTAAAATCAAAAATGTAAAAAAAAGTTTCTTGTTTTGCCTTTTTTAATGCAGGCATTCTTGTGTACTTACCAAGTGTTAAATGCAATACTTCTGTACTTGTAATTAATATGCTGCTAATTGGTTGCTTTGTGTTTAGGAGGTCTTCACAGAAATGGAAGAAAAATATGGTGAAGTTGAGGAGATGAATGTTTGCGATAACCTTGGAGATCATCTAGTTGGAAATGTATACGTAAAGGTAGGATAAAGAGAGACATGTATATATAATTAATAGAGGTTGTATTTATTGATTTATAATTTTAAAAAGCTACTATATGTTTGTAGACTTTGGGACTAGTTCTTTAGGATGTAAGCTCCTCTCCAACTTCACAATATAAGGTAGAAAGAGTGAAAATGTTAATAGAATCTGAAAAATTTTAAAAGAGAAGCTTTCTTGATAGTCAAAATCTCTGTCACTTTCATAAAGATTAACGCTTTTTTTTTTTTACATTGTTACAAACACAGTCACCACTGCTGGACTGTTTAGTTTGCCAGGATTAATTTGGGCTCTGTCTTCCCACCACTCTGGCTTTTAAGCACTTCATTATGAGAAGAGGTTTATTCGCAACAGGTGTGTTTATTTTCAACAGGTGCATTTATTTTCTAATTTCTCAGTTAAACAAAACACCTTGTAACCAAGTTACATTTGGCAGTAGCTGGGTGGTTTTTGGTGCAAACTGGTGCACTTAGGTTTGGCTATTAAAAATCATTGGTATCTCTTGAATAATGAGTACAGAGTTGTCACCTTTCAGAAATTCTATTGTGTGTACACAGTGTTGGGGGTGTGTGAGAGCTCGTTTGAATATTTTTACTGTACATTCCCTTAACTGGAAAGTAATTTCACGCCTAAAATTCTCAGCTGTGTAGGTCATAATCAGAAATAAAAGTTGTTTTTAAAAATTTTCAGTTGATTAGCTGTGAGAAGGAATTTAACACTCAAGTTTTGCAGGATCAGATTTTTGTAAATTCTAATTTAAGTGAATGAGAGCTTCAGTTCTCATGCAGGTTTCTCTTAAATGTTTGAAAAAAATCCATTAAGTTTGGAGCATTAGTGTTCTAGAAAGTATGCTTAAGCATTCTTTTTGTTTAAAGTTGTACTGAGAAAACACAATGTCTCGTATCTATCTTTGAATACAAGCCATAGTACTTGAAAGACTAAGTAGAACATTATTAAGGGGAAATATCGATGTTGTGATTAGCCCCGAGTCCTGATTAATGAAAAGCTAGCATCTTTACCCTTGATTTGGTTGACTGTCCCAGGAACTCTGAAGTAGCTTCTAGTTTGATTATTAGTCCTAAGCCCCAGATACTGCACAACTGATTTGATAAGAATATTTGATCTACTTCTGTTGCTTCTCTATAACATAAGAAAATGTTAATTTTGCTTTTAGTTTCGCCGTGAAGAAGATGCAGAAAAGGCTGTGATCGACCTGAACAACCGCTGGTTTAATGGACAGCCCATTCATGCTGAGCTTTCACCTGTGACTGACTTCAGAGAGGCCTGTTGCCGTCAATATGAAATGGGGTAAAATGTGATTTCCTGTTTGCCAATGACAGTATCTTTGAAAGACAGGGTGGTTGCTTGGGTGTGGGTTTCACGTGTAGCTTAGTGTAGGAAGAAAACCACTTCAGGTCGTGTTAATATAGAGGACCTACAGTTAACCTCTTGACTTTTGCCATATTTAGGATTTTGATCTAGGAGTGAGTCAGTGTCATAAATGGTGCTTGCAATTTACCGTTTTTAATGCTAGAGGTGGTTAAGATGTGGCTTGAGGTCCACTAGGGCTTAGGGCAAACAGGTGTGGTGTAGAGCTGGGGATTTTAACTGTCTCTTGAATTCTGTTTCAGAGAGTGTACACGAGGAGGTTTCTGCAACTTCATGCATTTGAAGCCCATTTCTCGAGAGCTAAGACGTGAGTTATATGGGCGTCGTCGTAAAAAGTAAGTTTGTTTTTAAACATGATTAAAACAGGTAAATTAAGGATCAGTGGCTGAAAATTCTGAAGGCAAATCTTTCAGTCCTTTTGTTTTTTCTGATGTGGTTCTGACACATGCCAATGAAAGTGTCAAATAAAGCTAGCAAGCGACCAGTTTAGAACAAAGGAATAAGTTTGTGTTTAAAAAAAACAAAAACAAAAAACAACAACAACAAAAAAAAAAACGAAAAAAAAACCACCCAACCATGTTACGATGCTTCTTGCTCTGTGGTGCTGTGGATGCTGAAGGTTGATGTGGCTTTAAGAGAAGGCAGGCTTCAAGGAGAATATTCACTGAGTTACTAAGTAGGTAGGACCTGCCTGTGGTTCAGATCTCCATGCTGCCAACTGTTACAGGCAGATGTTATTTAGGAGAAGTATTGCTTTATGCTTCTTCACTATTTTGTTGTCTTCTAAATGTATTTGCTAGTGGTCTCTGTTAAAAGCAGGCTACATGGCTAATGGGCATTTTGGCAGGATCAGATTGGCCACTTCCAGCATTATGCACAGTCCAGCATATCTATAGATTATATTCAATTCCCAACCTTATTTGTTTTTAACAGTTAATGGCTAACTTTTCTATCGCGTATTCATTCCTTAGTGTTAGTAACAGGCAGTCACTGTATTCAGCTCACTTTTTACTAATGCTAGCCTCACGATGTGACCCTTCTTGATAGGAGCTCTCGGTAGGGCAAAGGAATAGTAATTTTGCATAATGGCAAAAAAAGATTGTGATAAATATATTTATATTATTTATTTATGTACTTTGTAGATAGGCTTATACTGCTGCTGTTACTATGATGTCTTGTGGATGGTTCACTCTGAGCTGGATTCAATCTGCTTGCTTTTAAGACCTTGCTATTTAGGATACACATGCAAAATTGTTGAGTTTCCTTTTATATGGAGCACAATTTTGTAGGTTTCTTTCAATCACCGAAGGAGCCTGAGATTGTGAACATGTTTTTCCTATAAATGTCTCTAATTGGCAGTGTCTTAGAACTTGTAAGGATGAATTTAACTTTGGAAAATGTAGATTGTGTTGCTTAGGCACATGTATTTGTGCCTAAATACTTTTCCTAAAATATCACAATTAATGTTCATTTAAGCTAAAATGTAAGCTTTTAAGATGTTTGAATGATTTATGAAAAAGACAAAGTATGCTTTTGTGTTAGCCTTTTTGGTCACTTTCATGCATCTGAATCTCTGGGACATAGTAAGGCTAATTAGAAGGTATCACCTTTTATTGCAAGAAAGATCAGACTTGTGTGTTTGTCTGTAAAACATGATTGTTTTACCCATAGCCTAATTTCAGCCTGTGGTAAAACAAATAAAATAGCTGAGTCCTCCATCCAGTTTTGTCTTTATTGGCCCTATTTAAATTCTTTGTGTGGCTAAAGCTGTTACAGTTCAGCAGTAAGGCTTGATATAACAAAAAAAATCAGTTCTTGTCAGTGGGGTTTCACTGGTAGATTGTATAAACTGGACTGACCTGAAAGTAGTTCTACATGGAATGAAATACATAGAAGTTTTTCAATTAGAAAAAAGGAGGGTAAACCAGAACTTTTGAGTAATAGGTTAATTTAATAATTCTGGACAGCCCAGTGGTACACAAGAGTTATGCATGTGCCTCCATCATAGTAAAATTTGTCACCACACACACTCCCATGTCAAACCATCTCACCATGGAACAACATTCTGCAAACTTATGACTTGTAGCATTCATTTCTCTGAGCTTTTTAGTTTTGCTGTAATTTCTACACCTATTTAAAACTGTACTGTTTACCTATTTTTATAAAATTGACTTTTCTAAAAATGCTTAAAAACGTTCAAACCACTCTTTTCCTTGACAAGTGCCATATAAGCTATAAATCCATAGTAGCTGTGTTAGCAGTACCATTCTGGGTGGTTTTAGCTTTCTCCCTGAATTTAAGTCATCGACCTCAGAGGCAGGGAAGATTATTTGCAAATGCTGATGGCTTCTGGGAGGGGGAGAGGGCTAGAGAAAAAAAAGAAGGAAAAGGAACCGAGTTGTAATTGCTAATTAATGCAGTTGATTTAACAGGAGTGGACTTAACAAACAGTTGTAGACTTTTGCTGTGTGTTGTTAAGAGCAATTCATAACTGCAAAAGCAGGTGTCCCCATCTCTTCTTTAATTAACAGCTGTGTAACGGTGCATGTGGTTCCCCTACATGCCTTTCCTTAAGTTTTGCACACCCATTATAATGGATGATTGGCAGCAAACAGTTGAGTCTTTTAACAGTGTGGTTTGACTCCTTGGTATTAAGTTTGTTCAGTTTGTAAATACACGTTTTTGCAGCCTGAGTGCCTATTTACCAATCCTTCTAATAGTACTTTGTCTTTCTTCCTCATTACTTATATCCGTAAGCGTTCAACTGTGTGGTACTGCAAGTAAATTGCTGAATGTCATGAAACAATAAAATATCTAAACTTTTCTTTGAAGGCATAGATCCAGGTCGAGGTCCCGTGAACGTCGGTCTAGATCCAGAGATCGTGGTCGTGGAGGTGGTGGTGGAGGAGGAGGACGTGAACGTGATAGGAGGCGGTCAAGAGATCGTGAAAGATCTGGTCGATTCTGAGCCATGCCATTTTTACTGTATGTCTGCTAGAAAGTGTTGTAGTTTGACCAAACAAGTTCATAATGAGATTTTTTTTAAAGATGGGCTTCTGAATAAAAAATTTGTAGTGATACAGTATTCTTTGTGTAACTTGTTTCTTGTGGGGGGAGTCTTTTTAACTGTCATTCCTCTAACTTGACAAATACCTGGATTAACTATGCCTGAGGGAAAGGTGGTAAATGTATTGGAGGAGCGCCAGTTCTGTTTTTGTTTGGTTTTTTTTTATTCGGGTATAATTTGAACTGTTGATGAAAATGTGTGTGTATATAATATAAAATATTATATACATAGTAAAAATAATATACTGCTTAAGAAACAGTTACTCACATAAGTTTCCCTTTTCTGCTATGCTGTCTGCTTATTTAGGTTAGTTTAGGCACATTTAAAAGGAAGGCTGTGCGAAATGCTTTTATTTACCAAGTAGAAACGCTTAGTTACAAAAATGTATGTTTGTTTGTTACCAGAAGTCTGTGCTCTGTCTATCAATGTGACTGTGGCATTTACAATAAATCCAATTTCCTGGTGTAAAATCTAAAGCCTATTTTCTAAGCACTCTGGAGTAGTTGAGTTGCTACTCCGGGCTGTGCCAGAGTTCATAGTTCAATTTTTTTTTTTATGATTCTTGACTAAATCCTTTCTCTTTGGCTGGGAAGAAAGTTGCCTAGCACAGTGTGGGGAAAAAAGTTATATTTTGATTGCAGTGATTGATAATAGGCATAATAGGTGAGATTTTTTTAAAAAAAAAAACCTCATGCTCCATGCAACATGACACGTAGGATCTATTGAAGGAAATGTGAGGTCCTAAATGCAAGTACCAAATTTCCGAACAGACTGATTTCTTTTTTTTCCACTCTATGTTCTCTGAGTTGTCATTTAAGGAAAAGCATTTCGTTAGTGTTCAAGGTCATAGGAAACTAATTGGATGCTAGTGGAAAATATTTTTTTTTTTTTCTACCTTTACTTGCTTTCTGGTAGTCTGAAGTGCGATAAAAGCTAATGAATGTTAGCTAAAAAAAGCTAATGGCAGTTTCTTCACAAACAAGACATTTTTTTTCTGCCTGAGTTTTAACTGAATTGCACAAAAGCTATATATTGTAGGTTGTGTGTCTCTTAAGGGGTTAAAGCTGTACTTGAAATGTTGCTGGAACATCTTGAGAGGCAAATTGTACAATGGCTGACTTAGTTTAACTTCATTCATGTCTGCTTTTATTCAAAGTGTAGTGTGGTAAGAAATTTTGGTCAGCGGTCATACTTCTGCAAGGTACAACTTAATGTACCTGAAGCTACGTAATAAAATATAGCTTTCCAGTGGGGGAGAGAATTTGCTAGTGCTTTTTTAGTTCCGAGTCAGATAACTTGCTACATGGTAAATCTGCTCTTTGATTATTATTCAAAAAAAAAAAAAAAAGGAAAGGATATGGAAGTGTTACATAGCGAGATTACCAAACCAGTTTCTCTCTGCCTCTAAAATAAGTATAAAACCATTTTGCTCACTGGAACTTGGTATTGGCAAACAAAATATTTAAAAATGATCTTTTTGAAATGCATCTGCTTTGCCTCTTACAACTAAATTCTTGCACCAATTCGATTTGAATTTACTTTGTTTGCAATGGATGGTTTAGCCAACCAGATTGTGAAATTTATTTTGCCAGTAACCTTTTTAAAGAAATGTATCTCTCTAAGCAGTGAAGCTATCTTCACATAATGTTTTGTTGCAAGTACATAAATCAAATTTTGCGCTTTTTTTCCACTGGAAGAAATTGAACAGTGCGTTAGATGTCTGAACTGAAATCTGTGTTATTTCTGCCAGACATTAGGAATTTAACATTGATAATTTAGTTCTTGCAGTTGACTGGATATTAATCCAGTTCCATTTCCTCTTCAGTAAGATTTAGGATTGTTAGCCTAATTCAAATCTCAAGGTCAAAAAGGTGAGGGTAGGCTTTCTGGTTTTTAAAACAGTATATAGTATAATGCGGATAGTGTTTAAGATCTTCTTTTGCACAGATTAATGACAGAAGCTGATTTGCTCTCTAAACAAGATAATTTTAAACTAGTATAAACGTGTCCCTGTAACGGCCTTCATCTGTTTATCTAAACCCTGTTAAACTGCAGGTATATTTTTGTGTGAAAAGGTAGCAGAAGGTTGATTTCTCCCTCTCCCCCCAATACAGTTTTTCTTAAGAAAGCACTCTTGAATTCTACCAAATGCATCATTTTATGGTCTCATTGCACAGCTACCCAAAAATTAACCACGTAACTGGAATATGTCATAATGGGCACTGAAAGCGATGGATTTTACTGGATACTCAAAGGAAAAAAAAAAACGTGCACCAATCATTACCTGATTATGTAATGATTACTTAGTGACAGCATTCAGCATATAAACTAAGCTCATGACATATCTTCAGTTAGGTTCACCTTTTAAGACTACCAGTAAAATTCATCAAACTTGAAATTTAAACTGCACAAATTTGGTTAAACATACATGTAGTCCGAACTGTATTGGTTTACCAAGACAAACCAAGTGGAAATCCTACCTCCCCCTTCCATTGTTGCTCACAATGTCTTGGAGTAAAATTTTTTTTTTCCCCTTCGTTCCCAAAGGTACCTACTTCTCACAAATATTTCATTGTTGGCTCTTCTGTTAAACAGTGGATCTTAATTTATGGAATTCCTTTACCTCAAATAAGTGACAGCATACAGTATTTTCTGAAGTCTGAGTCAATTAGGTTGAAACTGTTAATCCCAAGTGGCTTCCTCTTCTTTGTATTTGGCTCTTATTCTGTGAAAATGCTGCTTGTCCATGAATATGATGTATGCTGAGACTGTAAAACCAAATGGAGAAAACTTGTTCAAAATAAAGCCTTTTTTTATAAGAATCTGATAAAAATTATCCCTTTCCTTTAGATGAGATGCTGCTCTTTAAATGACTAATGAGGACATAGACTACAAGTTTCAAAGTTTTAGCTCGAGCCATTTTTTGAGTGAATCTTTGCCTTCTGTTTTTTAGAGCTGGTAGAGCATGTCTTCAACTAAAAAAAAAAAAAAAAAAAAAAAACCAAAAAAACCCAAAACCCAACCAAAAATAAGACCCCCCAAAACCACCTCTCCATAGTTACTTGACAAAGCTGAAGTACCAAGAGTGCAACTTGGGGTTAGGAGTTGAGGTTTTGTTTTGGGATTGTTTGGTTTTTCATTTCATTTGGGTTTGGGTTTTTTTTATGTGGTAAGGGTTCTGGTTGAGAGATCCTGCAAGTTTCTGTTGCGGTGCTTTGTAGAGAATAAGGCAGCACATTTTTAACAGAAGGACCATGTTTAATTGAACAAATGAGTAATTGAGAGGGGTCATGGCTTTTTAAAGATGATTATTCCTAATGTTGCATTGCTCCAGCTGCAAAACTTCAGGTGTTAACAACTGTGTCCATTGCCACTATTTTACAACACCACCTTAAGCTGAATGAACTGTCTTTCATATATCAGAAATGAAACTGCTTTCACAGCAGTTTGGGCAGGGGGGGAATGGTAATCACTCCGTTCTCCAAATGCTTGTAACTGCTGATGCTGCTGCAGTGATGGCTGCCCCAAAAAACCTGTCTGCTTCAGGAAAAGGCAAAGCTAAAAGACGGAACGGAGTTGGTGTGCGCTCACTTCAGCTGCTAAGGAAGTAATGCCTCATAGGTAAGGCTGTCATAGAAGAGAATGTTTGAAGCTGTGTTTGCTGTTTATTGCAAGGATGAAGCTGAGCTATATTACTGTAGAGCATGATGATACCTTGAAGTTGCATTTCGAAAAAATCAAAATTGCAGCCAAATGTCTGTAGAATAGATCAATACATCTTCCTGTTGAATTGATGCACGATGTATTCTAAAACTATGCACAAGTATTTCTGGATTCATCTGATTAGCCAATGTTACTTTTTTGATGAAGGTCTCCAAATTCTTTTTGCAATATTAGTTAAATCCATGCTTAAGGAAAACGGAGCAATTCACCTCAGCTATGCGGACAATCCTTGTCAGCAAGGTGCTTATCAGTCATACAGGTCTAATCCTCTGTTAATGTATGTCACTTTTTATTTCTTATAAAACTGTAACCTCCAGCAAGGACTACTAGTGAAAGGACTCTACTACCCTATACCACAGTCCCATAGCATTTGAGCAGCAGCAGCAGAACCGCCTTAGAAGGCCCCTGTTTTCTTGCTGGAGCTTACTGCTAAAAGAGGTGTTAATTCAATTGATCTAAAGTTTCAGCTGTAAATTGGATTTGTGGAATCCGGTTTGAATGGCGGGGGCTCAGAAACCCGATCTGCCATCAACAGACTAGCTTCTGGTAGCCCGTTCCTTCATTTCAACATGCAAAGTGGGAAGGGGAAAGGTGTGCTTATCTCCAACTGCTAAGACAGCACATGCCTACTACTTAGCAGCGCTCGGATAATTATAGGGGTCGGTACTTTTTCATAATTTCAGTTTTGGTGTTTGCTTTCTAACTAGATCGTTTTGACAGGACCAAAGGCAAGTTAACGCACGTTTGTACATCAGCAGAGCAGAAAGGTGGTAACTTCTGATGAAGTGGTGGGATGTGAGTGAGGCTGGGGTCAGCAACTCCTCTCGGGTGAGCTGGAGCCCTGTAGCAGCTTGTGTGAGTATGGTTGCCCCTTTGATCCAAATACCTTAAAAAGATTGAGCTCTGCAAGCTGTTCCCACTAGGAACAGAAAATTAATACGATTCAGGGATTCCTTTTGGACAAACTCATGCATTTTTGACGAAGGTGTGCAGAGTGCTGTTTTCCGGAGCACTGTGAAATCAGTGCGCTGTAGGTCACTTCCAGGTCTTCTGTTTCCAAAGCTGCTCTTTTAGTTAGGTCTGGAGAAAAAAAAAAAGGATAAAATTCTTTCTGCTCTGGTTCCAGTGAGCTGCAAGACAAAGCGGGTAGAAAGGCAGATAGCAAACAAGCTGGTCTCCCTGCCTCTTTGTTTTCACAGAAGAGCCTTTAGTCTACCAGGCTCAGGCCTAATGTGCTTGTGCCAGCACCTGGCTCCGTTTCAAGTCGTGCTACCTATGCGACTGAACATTGGCCGTGTTTCAGATCGCTCTCACTTTCTTCCTGGAGCTGCCTTGGGTTCCGGCCAGGCGGAGGGAGGGAGGGAAAAAGGGAGGGAGGGAGCTGCTCCCACTGCAGCCTGTGCACCAGCCTGTCTCCTGGGCCTGAGAGCCGTGGGAAGAGCCGGTGGGAGCAACCGCTCCTCCCTTTTCTTCCTACCCCTGTTTCACTCGGGAGCTAATACTGCTCGTGTCTAAGAGAAAGATGAGAGAGCACTTCACGGATCAAAAGGGTCCTGCATCTTCCATTCATTCCTCCTCCTTCTCTTGTGAACACATGTGAACACGGAGGGTGCTTCCTATCTGCTTCCTCTTGTGTTGGTGGAGAAAAAAGTCCTGGAGCTGCAGGAGGAAGAGATTCGATAAAAGGATTGAGGCAGGATGTGAAGAACTGATTTCTGGACAAAGCACAAGTGGAAAGTGAGCAGACTGCACT